AAGCCCAGTTTGCAATTAATGTACAGCGTGACTTTCACACAGATCAGAGACCTATACTATGTACATGGTTGTCGTGTGCATGGAAACAGAAATCATACAGACAGATTGCTATTGCTCTTTATCTCAGCCTGCTGCTGACCCACAGAAGGAGACACCATTTACTCCTGCTCTACAAGCTGCAGTCCCATCTCTACAGATGGGCACAGGCTGATGCAGACACAAAACACTGCATCGCAAAATCCTCTGTCAACAGCTATAAAGTATTTTTGGCTTCCTGATGCAAGTTTTGCCCACCTGGAGAACACTCTGTGGCGAAGCGGGAGTCAAAACAAAAAGCAACCATATTGCATTTGACCTGCAGCACTCTGGCTCTCTGCTACAGTCACGATGTTCTGGGGAAGAAGTTGCATTCTCCTTTAACTCTTCAAATTTAATGTTCAATAAATACAATTGCATATAGACATGGATAAAACACAATTCTTTTTGCCTTAAGAAAGAAAAAAATCATAGGAAAGGATACATGCGAAAGAGCTCAAGTTAAGGAATTCACGAGAATTATTTGTCTTAATCTCTTCCTGCACACATGAGTAAAGGGTAACAAACTCATCAGGAAGTTGTGATTGGCTCATTAATCTTATAGTCCATCTGTTATCTAATTTCCATCAGTATACTCTGATAATGTGCTACTTCAAGAGCTAGGTTTAATTTTAATTTCTTGTTAAAGTCCTAGAAATTTTGACATCTCTACCCAGGGACTAACAATTTTTACAATCGTAATTAAATAATTCCCTAGTAACAATGCAATTCAGTATCTGTAAATAGTGCTTCCCCAAGCTTAAAAATTACTTCAGCTACTACCTAAAACTCAGAGAAACAACCCTATGTATTGTAACTGAAAGGGGAGATGTTTACAACTCAGTACTCCAAATTATTTGTGTTGTTTCACTGACTTCCTATGCTGCACTCAGGGACAGTTAAAGAGGAGATACTACCTTTTAAAGATGCATATGCTGAGTAAAAGCATCTTAGCGCACGCTAGTGCAAAATTAAATGCTTTTAAAGACAAGTTTCAACCCTGATAACATAACATAACAGCTTTCGGATAGCAGCCAGCTTAATTCTCTCCTGCATTGCACCTGGCAGGGTCATGCACACCTGTATAAAATGCTACCATTCAGGTTTGCACAATTTCACACCCACACAGGAAAATGCCTACCAGAAAAAACATGGTACCGGAGAGATCGCTCCCAGTTTTAACTAGATTAAAGCATGCTGAAGGCAAGGTGGCATTTATTTGACAGTATTAATAAAAACTGCTGCGCTGCAACTTGACAAGTAAATTTAAGAAATGGGAAACAGAGAGAAGGATCTTGAAGTTAATAACCTCTTACAGATTTGATCTGTGTAAAATTAGTCAAATGTGCTTATCAAATAATACACAAATTAAAAAATATCCAGCTAATGTGTTTACTAGAAAAACTTCAGCAATCAAAATGGTTAGAAGGAAAAAGGGTCCATTTTGAAGAGTCTCTGGAACATGGATTTCAATGCAAACCGTGAACAGAGAACTCTGTCCCAGAACCCAGTGGGATGACTCAGGTGTATAAGCATTACTGATGAGACAGTTCATGTCCATACACTTACTCATCTGCATAAGTGTTTGGGGTCATAATTGCAGTGATGTACCTGCAAGTCATCTGGGAAGCACCAATGCTTACACACCAACTGCTCCTACTTGCCTCTCGCTGACACTTCCTACAATTCTCACAAGAGATGGTGACCAATGTTACAACTAATCACTTTTTTTTTTTTCTTCCAGCAGGAGAAAATCCACATTGATAAACAGAGCATCATGAGCCCAAGGTTCATGGCAAAACTTTCAGGCCAGCACGTGAGCTGAGGGACTGTCACAGGTAAAGCTCGGCTCTCCAGAGGAATGCTCAGGGAGCAGAGGCAGCCAGCCACCCTGTCCTGTTTGGCTGTTATCAATCCAAGGGGCATTTGAAGTTTACCAATATATTGTTGCTCTTGTCTCTGAAAGGTGAACATAAAAATTCTATTTCAAATCAAAATGAAAAATCGTGCAAAGCCAAGTAAGTGTAAGCCAGGTTAAACTTTGAGGATTCACCAGTTTTCCCCTCACTCTACTCTTTCCTTGCCTATCTGTGCTTTTGCTTTGGGGATGGAAAAAGGGCAGCATGAAGGATTTCAGAGTGGAGGTGTCTCAAATCATCTACAAATCCCTTGTGGTGTCTCATATCATGCCATGAACTGCTGTTCATGGACCTTGGGTTAGTACAAACCAGCATTTCCTATCCTTCCGATTACACAAAACCCCGTGACAGCCTTGCTGGATTTATCAAGACATATTAAATTATCAGGGCAAGATGCTGTTCCCTGTTATCATGTGATCCTGGCTGCACGCTATGCGAGACGCTAACGAAGCAAGTCAAAAAGGAGGGGAGAGAAGACAGGGAACAGAAGATGAATGCTTACTCACGCCCCACTAAATCCACCCCAGTTGTAATTTTTAGACCTTAACTGAAAAGGAGAGCAGCAGCTCTCAGCTTCTGTCTACATGCCCAGATAGAACATCAGTTTACATCAGCCTAGTTTAAAAAACAAAACAAACCAAAAAACAAAACAAAACAAAAAAATCACTGATTTCCCACCCCACTGTACCCATCAACTGACAGGGACAGGAGTTCATAAAACACGTGCCTATCCAGCAGGGATAAGAAACTTTTCCCTCACCAAAGACCAAACAAGCATTTCAGGCCACAGACTGCATCTGTCCTAAAAGTCAGCACTGCAGGATGGATAAAATGATAGAAAGAGTGGGACATGAATGCCATCCACACCAAAGGCAATATTAGTATGGATATTTTAGTTAGGTAAATAAGGCCACAATCTTTGCAACACAGCAGTCCAATCCCATGCGTAGCCAGACCCGGTGTGAGTGGGACTCCAGCCTCCCAAGAGGATACGGCCCCTCTCAACAGCAAAGAGGAAACACCCCCAGCAAATAAAACATGAAAAAAACATTCAAAACCACAGCTCCCTGTCCTGAGCTCACTCCTCTGCCCTGGCCCATAGGGGGCCATTCCTTATTTAAACCTGGTTTAGCACAAGTCCCAGGAGCAGTTTCTCTCTGGCGGCACAACCAGCCTGGGAAGCTGGGCGTGCACCCACGGAGCAAAGCCCGTCGAGCTCTGCTCTGGCTGTACTGTCAGGAGCAATACCTGAGGTAACCCCTCTGACGCCAGCTTGGATCCCTCCGCTCGACAAAAAAAATCACATCAGTGACTGCCTGACAGAGACCACCTTTAGTGTGCGAACCCCATGGCCCGTCGAGCTCTGCTCTGGCTGTACTGTCAGGAGCAATACCTGAGGTAACCCCTCTGACGCCAGCTTGGATCCCTCCGCTCGACAAAAAAATCACATCAGCGACTGCCTGACAGAGACCACCTTTAGTGCGCAAACCCCATGCCTTCCCATAGGTCACCTAAGCACACCCTAAGAAGAGAAAAAGTACCAATATACACCTCTTAATCGATCCTGTGACGGAGATTTCCCTGTAATCACCCCAGAGGTGTAGCATCACACCTCAGGCACAGACACGGGCTGAGAACAGAAAGGACCAGCATTCTCCCCAGCGATACAATCGAGATGCTTATCTGTTCTCTACAGTGTCAGGTCTCTTTCCTCCACATCTGATTTTATTATGGTGGTTACCTGACCACGTGTGCTGAACTTCCTGGCCTCAAAAAGTTAATATCTACATTAACCTCGGAAATTCTCAGCTCTTCTGCACCTTCTCTACCCTGAAAAAAATGCCTTTTGGCTTTTTTTTAACCTAACACAAGCAAACAACTGTCTGGATAAATACATTCACCTCCTCCTCCTTTACAGTAGTGAAAGCAAAGGCACAACTTTAAAGCCTGTACTATTCCTTTCACTTAGCATTAGGACTAAGGTATAAATGAGGTTCTCTGGGCCGGATGCAAGTGACATCTACTTGCAAATAACCGAGAATTTGCTATAAGTGAAACTGTGTTCAACTAGCGCAGTGGTGTACATAACAGATGCAAGACTAGTCCTGCCATTCTGTTAAGAAGTCAAAGAAATTTGCGTGCATGCATCAAACAATTGTGCAAGCACGTGTAGATCTGAGCAGAAATACATCCAACCCCAGGTATCCAACTTTCCAAGTACGTCTCTGCGTGCTAAGCAAAACAGGGAAGGTACGTGAGCCTGTGCGTGAGTTGCAGGTGTACTTGGCTGGTTATGTATTACAAATCTCTTCTCTGCTAGTCTACAAAGAGGAGAGACTCCACAGCCCTCAGCTACAGGGTCCTCACACCCTCGAGCTACGACAGCTGAGACTTTTCATTCTTAGGGTCTCAAATACATCAGCTGAAACAGCAGTCCAAACAGCAATCTAAGCAACTCTAAAGCACCGGGGCGCAAACAGATGCACACACACCTGTGTAAATGCAGACACACACACCAGGCTGCGTGCATCTGAAGCACAGGCGTGCAAGGACAAGCCCCAGCTCTGCAAGTACCCTTCAAGCGCCTTCATTCATTCAGAGAGGAGCCCGGCTCCGGCTTTGCCGTGAGACATCTACTCACCCAGCCTTCGAAGCTGTCGCTGGGGCCCGCGGAGCGCAAGAGGTCCTGGAAGTGCAAGGTGCAGTTGGCCACAAAATCATCGTATCCGATGGGGGTGTCGTGGAAGACGGACAGCTCGATCTGTTGGCCGTCGGTAACCGTGGCAGAGAACTCCTCGTTGTAAGTGGGTTTGTTGGTCTTCTGCTTGGTGCTGGTCTGCCCAACGCGCACCTGGTCCACGCTGACGGTGACATAAGGGTCCAGGAGCTGGTAGCCCTT